TGGTGTTTTCGTGTCTGATCTTCTGCTGGACTGAATCCTAACTGGGGAGAGTCAGAAACTCTCAAATTTTGCTAACACTACCAGCAATCCAATCCAATATTTTTTTCCTGTTCAATCATCTCCGATTCTCAGAGTCTGCTTGTACAAGTCCCTGCAGTTTTATGCTCATTTTATTTGTTATTATTTATTTTATTATTTACTTACTTTATACTCATTTTATGCAGTTTATGCTCATAGAATAATCTATTTTCCTGAGCCCTCAACCATATTAATGATTGAGTGGCAAAAAGTAGTAAATGTACAAGTCTCTGTTGAGGGCAAGAACTGCTTGAGTCAGATTTATGTTCAATAACTGTTTTAAAGCCCTCCAAAATATCTTATGTAAACCAAAAGCCTCAGTAGCCAAGAAGGAAAAAAGAACAGGAGTCATTTACAACATACAGTGTAAGGAGCATAACAGCCACTACGTAGGACAGACAGGCAGAAGACTAGCAAAGTGCATCCATGAATACCAACTAGCAGTCAGAAGACACAATAAAAATTCTTTAATTTCACAACACATGGACAGACTCAGCCACAATTTCAACTGAGAAACTCAGCATCCTAGACCAAGCCAAATCCAAAAATACTAGGGAATTCCTGGAGGCTTGGCATTCAGACAAATCAACCATCAATAGCCACACAGAAATAAACCATATTTACACAACATTCAAAAGAATACAAAAAGCTAAGAAGAAACAAGACCAGAATGTACCCCCTCCAGCAGCCAATACCCAGATAAGCAGGGATTAACACCAGAAAGCAGAAAACAATACCCTAATCAAGGAACTACCAAGGAGAAAACCACACCCCACTAACACTGGCACTGGCAGGGCAAGCTATTGTATATAAACAGGAAGAAAACCCCACACTCACTAGCACTGATGTTACCTAGTTGGGTAATGAAACGTCTGCAAGCAAACAACCAAGCTTAACATCAAGGACTCCACAGATGTTTTCTTCTCACTAAAAATGTACTTTTGACCATTAAAAAACTTCAGAGCAGCCATATCTTCTACTGGGAGACTTCAACCTGCCTTTGCCTGGTGTGGAATTTGAAGTGGATCTGGAGTCCATGGCCTCCATGACAACCATGAACCTAATCTGAGTTACTGAGGAACTGTCACAGATTGGATCTCTTTGTCTCAGAGCAGTTTCAGTGTGATCTGAAGGTGGGGGAATATCTATCCATGCTCAGATTGCTCTCTGGTTGCCTTGAAATTGTACAGTTTCCTGAGGCTATGATGGGTAGTTTGACCACCTGGTAGTTAGCCACCACCTGGAATGAGCAGGTGATGCCAGCCCTGTATCAAATTGCGCTATTGTGGGTTCTTTTGAAATCACAGTACATCAGATTAACCCAGACTCAGTACAGACACAAGAACACTGGAACTTGGGACTGGAGGCAATTTTTAATTTTACAAAAGAGAATTGTAAATTGCGATTTTCTTCAGGCATTACATATATTACTGCTAGCATATTATTATTTATATCTATGCCTTATTCTTACTGTTCTTATCTAGTAATCCCAATATCCTACAGTATTTCTACATCAATGTTTGTAGTGCTGAACTTGCCTTACCTATTTTCTATAGCCTGTATATCTACACTATATGTTTAAAGTCCCATTTCATCTATCATATTAATCCATTCTACATCTCTACGATATATTTCTCTGTTGCTAACCACTATATTTCTTTGACACTAAACTCCATAGATCTTTGATTCTAGTCTCTATGCGTTCCTATTGCTATTATAGTCTTGTCCTATGGAGTTCAGCCTGTCTTTTATCTAAGTTCCTGTCCTCAAAGTCTTTACCTTTCCTTCAACAGCCAATAGGTGGCAGTCTCACCAATTTTCAGTTTTATTCTGGGAAACCGAACATCTTCTCTCTCCTTGGGTAGAAGAGTGTTTATCTCACTCCAAAACTGAGGGGGGGGGTGCTTCTCACCCCCTTCCCAGTTCTCCCAGCTGCTGCCTCCTTTCCTGCTGCCTCCTTTGCAGCAAGCTGAGGCTTTTCCCACTGGTCTTTTTCACCTTTAGTGCTGGGCTTTCAGCTTCTGTTTGCTCATACCATGTGGCTCCAGAGTTCCAAGGAACTGACTTGGTTTTTTCCCCCCTCTAAACACAGATGTGCAAGCATTGCTGCTTTATTGGCAGCTGAGCCATCTTGAAGAGCTGAAAAGGGAAGGCAGGCAGGCAGGCACTTGCAATAAACGGAGACAGCCTGTCCTTCCACATGCTCCTCATGCTCCCTGTATGCAGATTGAGGGTGGGGTTGATTTTCTGAGGAAGTGATACTGGACCAGTGTTGGAGAAAGACTAGGAGCCAGTCTGGCTACATCTATGAACCTGTATCAAGGAGGACATTGTGTCAATAAGAGCAGCAAAATGCAATTAATTTCCCACTCTTACTATGTCCGTGGAGTGAAGTCCTGAAGCCCTGTTTATGGAGAAAGAGTTCAGGAGAGCATTTCAAGAGCCCCTATGAGGATTATGTTAGGTATCTGACAGATTATATTGGTGAATGAGTGAGGATATGGAACATCCTGCCTTGATAAAGGAAGTGGTATGTCCCCTCTTCAGGAAACCAACACTAAATTCAATGATGTTGGACAATTTCTGGCTGGCCTTCAACCTTTCCTTTTTGGGAAAAGTTATGGAGAAGGTGGTTGGGCCAGGATGACTTGGATTAACTGGACCCTTTTTTAGGTCCCAATGCCTAGGGACAACATTGATTTTGCTAGCAGAGGACCTCTGATGGGATAGGATGATGTAACTTTCCTACATGATCTTTTGGCAGTTTTTTATACCATTGATCATGGTATTCTTCTGAATTTATTGGAGAGTTTGACAGTGTGCTTTTGGTAGTTTGTAGATGCTGTCCCATATCCTGGAGTCTGAGGATTATTATGGCACTGTTCCTGTATTGCTTTTTAATGATGTTTTTAAATGTTATTGTATGCCTCCTTTAGTCATTGCTGATCAGGTGGTCTTACAACTGGAATAATTAAATAAGCAAATAAATTGTGCTTAAAGCAATATGGCACTTAAGGGTGAGCTTTACATGGCCCACAGTTATTCATAGAAAATAAACATGATTTAGAAGTGTGCCCATCTGCCAATAAAAAGGAAAAAAAAAAGGCTAAACATTTGTTGTTGTTGTTCAGTCGTTAAGTCGTGTCCGACTCTTCGTGACCCCATGAACCATATTGCGCCAGGCCTTCCTGTCCTTCACTGCCTCCCTGAGTTTGCTCAGTTTCATGCTCATTGCTTCAGTGATGCTATCTAACCATCTCATCCTCTGCCGTCCTCTTCTCCTTTTGCCTTCAATCTTTCCCAGCATCAGGGTCTTTTCCAAAGACTCCTCTCTTCGCATTAGGTGACCAAAGTATCTGAGCTTGAGCTTCATTATCAGTCCTTCCAATGAGCAATCAGGGTTGATTTCCTTTAAGATTGACTGGTTTGACCTCCTAGCAGTCCAGGGGACTCTTAAGAGTCTTCTCCAGCACCACAGTTCAAAGGCATCAATTCTTCGGCGCTCAGCCTTCTTTATGGTCCAGCTCTCACAGCCATACATTACTGGCAAAACCATCGCTTTG